ATCTGGCTGATTTTTGAACGGCTATTTGATTCTAAATCCGATTGATGTTTAGGAGACAAGTGGCCGTGGCTTTGGCTGGTGGAGAACTTGTGTACTTTGAGCTTGACCCGGTTAGTTTTGTATGAACCTTTTTATTCATTTTATTTGAAAGAACACAATTTTTGTAGACTGGGCAGCTAAATGAGTTCACCGAGCGCACATCTTGGCCTCATGAAGTGCTGTGCATGAGTCTGAGTGAGATACCGGAGGGTGAACTACGCTCTCGTTTCCTCACTGTCGGCATCGCAGATAGTACTGTTCGAGTGATATCATTAGATCCTCAAGATACGCTGAGCCCTCTGAGGTTTGTTACTTACCTTTTTGAACAATTACTATCTAGTTGCTACTTTACATGCAAAGATATGAGGCGTATTCATTAGTCTTTGGGTTCTCGGAATGTCCACACTCGAGTTTTTCTTGCAGCGATTTGATTGCTATTTGACACGAATTCCATGTGTAGATTGACAAAGATTGATGGGACTCGTCCTAATGCGGAGATCGTCCGGGAGTACGGGGGTCCCATTTCGCGGGCTTAGAGCCGCTGGCGTATCGTTTGAATCATTGGCTCATCCCTCGTGCTCTGCGATTCGCTGTATTTGCTGCATGCTACCAGCCTCGAAGGGATTGAGTTGTGGGAGCTAAGGAACAGCATAAGTGCGATAGAAAGTTCGGAGGGTTTTCCCATTGCGGGCAGTCGATTGAAGTTGTAGGAAGTGAATTTTTAGTTGAAGCACCGGTAGTTTTTGAAAGTGATACTCGCTATTTCAGTATGCAAGCGCTTCCTTCTCAGCCTGAGTCACTTCTTCTTCTGGAGACGACAAGTGAAGATAATAAAGGATCATCTACAATTCATCTGAACATTGGCCTTCAGGTTTGAGATTATCAAATCTAATTTAAAGGAATCTTCCACGGAAAAAGCTCCGCCCTCATTACCACAGAAAACGATACCTTAAAGGAATCTTCCACGGAAAGAGTGATCATTTTGTCTTGTGTGTAGGATTAGTATTATCGAAACTAACGCTTATGTTCCGTTCTTTTTGCTATGCTCATGAGGCTAGGGGCCTAAGGGGTATCGTTTTTCTGTGGTAATGGAGGCGGAGCTTTTTCCCGTCCGCCCCCGCCCAAAGATTTCTTCATCAGCTTTTCTTCTAAATAGTATCACTGTAGTTTTTCCTTATCCATGCCATGGTATATTTTAAAATAGTTGAATTGGAATAAGTGTACTTGCCTACCTTTTTCAGAATGGCTGTTTGCTGCGTACCACTGTAGATAACGTCACTGGAGATATGATGGATACTCGTACAAGATATCTTGGAACGAGACCAGTTCGCGTGTTCAGAGTGCGCAGCCAGAACAGGGACGCTGTGAGTACTATTTTACTGATCAACTCAGCCTCTAAAGTTTTTGTATTTTCGAACATTCGATTACCGTTGAATGTCGTTGGTTTCGGCTGCACTCCTCCAAAAATGATTCTAGGTGTTGTGCACGTCTTCCCGATCATGGCTACTATATCATTATCAAAACCGTTTCCATCTCACGCCATTGAGCTACGTGACACTCGAATCTGCATCTAGCTTCAGTTCCGAGCAATGTTTAGAAGGCATCGTCGCTATTGCAGAGAATACTCTGAGGTACTGACTTCTGTCGAATCTGAGGACCATTTTATGGTAGAGGTCATTTTCAGGAATCATGGCTGTGGAAAAACTTGGAGCGTCTTTCAACCACATATCTTATCCACTTAAATTTACACCACGACGTATGATTGTTCCATCCAACTGCTACCACACTGATGATGATCGAAACCGATCATGCCGCTTATACAACAATTACTCTTGATCGAAAACGGAATGATATGGCAGATGTGAGTTTTTTTTGCTTTCTTTCTCTTTTTTCCTTTTTTCTTTTCTCTTCCTTCTCTCTCATTCTTTCTTCTTTTTCCTTTCTCTCAGTTGCACTTGACAGTTCCATTCCTATTCATACAACGAATTTTTTCCAATTTATGAGAAAACAATCTTTTTGTTGTTTTCGAGAGGACGTATCTAGTTTTTTTTTTATCTTTTTCGTGAATAGTTACATTTAGCTAGTCAA